CTTTTCCTTCTAAATTTATTATTTAAAAAATATACGCATTTGAGGTATTGATTTTTCTCACTCAAAATCCATATTCAAATAATTATCTTTTTAATTATCAAAGACAAGTAATTAGTCTTTGATGATACAATTAGTTGGTGCTAATTGCATTGGGAGAATCTTCTATAAAAATGTTAAAGAGTAAATAGGTCACTTTGAAGACTAAGATGTGCCTAACCCAAGTCTTTTTTATCAATCGCTTTATACGCATGTGAAAAACTGGACAGTAAAGAAGACTGGAGAAGAATTTATGCATTTGATTGAATTATGGTGTTGGTGAAGAATATTGAATATACTACGGACTGCCAGAAAAACGAACAAATTTATATTGGAAGAAGTACAGCTGAAATGCTCCTTACAAGTGAGGATGGTGAAACTTTATCTTGTGTACTGAGGGCATGTTATCAGAAGGAACTAGCCCCTGGAAGAGGACCTCATGCTTGGGAAAGTAGAGGGCCAGGAAACAAGAGGAAGACCCTAAATGAGTTGGACTGTGGCGGCAACAATGGGCTCAAACCTAGGAAACATTGTGAGTGTGGTGCAGGACTGCGCAGTGTTTCGTTTTGCTCTGCTGAGCAAATAATACGAGAAGCTGGGTTCTATGAAGGAAAACGTGTCATCAGGATTGGAGGAAGACTTACTAACAACCTGAGATATGCAGATGATACAACCTTGCTTGCTGAAAGTGAAGAGGACTTAAAATATTTACTGATGAAGATCAAAGAGCACAGCCTTACGTATGGATTACAACTCAATGTAAAGAAAACAAAAATCCTCACCACTGGACCAATAAACACCATTCTTATCAGTGGAGAAGAGATTGAGGTTGTCAAGGACTTCATTCTTCTTGGATCAACTATCAACATTCACGGAAGCAGCAGTCAAGAGATCAGACGACATATTGCATTGGGCAAATCTGCTGCACAGGAACTTTTTAAAGTATTGAAGAGCAGAGATGTCAGCTTGAGCCTGACCCAAGCCATGGTATTTTCAATAACCTCATATGGATGCGAAAGCTGGACAGTGAATAAGGAAGATCGTAGAAGAATTGATGCCTTTGAGTTGTGTTGGAGGAGAATACTGAAAGTGCCGTGGACTGCCTAAAGAACCAATAGATCTGTTTTGGAAGAAGTGCAACCAGAGTGCTCCTTGGAGGCCAAGATGGCTAGGCTTCGTCTCTCATACTTTGGACATATTGTCAGGAGGGAACAGTCGCTGGAGAAGGATGTCATGCTGGGTAAGATGGAGGGTCAGAGAAAAAGAGGAAGACCCCCAACGAGATGGATCAGCCAGGTGACATCATTGATGGCGTCAAGTGTGGTCAGCGGTAGTGAGGTTGGCCCAGGATCGGACATTGTTTCGTTCTGCTGTGCATGGGGTCGCTATGAGTCGGTTCCGACTCGATGGCACCTGACAACAACAACAGGCGCCCTGTGAATTGGAACTGACTCAATGGCATTTAACAACAAGTTCAAGAGTCTAGCATGCTGAATTATATGATCAGTTTTATTTGGAACGGCAGAAGGATTAGGCTATCAGCAGAGATTATAGGATTTCAAATCAAAGAGACTTTGGAACTAAAGCTCTTCTTAGCCTTGTGAATGCTGCCATTTAAGGCTGTTGTTAGTTATCCTTGAGTTGATTCTGACTCATGATTCTGACTCCATTATGCAGAGTAGAACTGTTCCATAGGGTTTTCAAGACTGGGACTTTAGGAAGATCTTCAGGCCTGCCTTTGAAGGCACCCCTGGGTGAATGCAAACTGCCAAACTTTTGTGTAATAATTCAGTGCTTGATGGTTTGTACTACTCAGGGACCCCATTTAAGACTTAATTATAGGAAATGAGGTATGTTACTGATCCAAAGAATGGCTAATGAACCAAAGTTGTTAATGCTAGGTGGGGGAAGATAAGAGAAAGTCGTTGTTATACATGTCATCTTTAGAGCTCTAGGCTCATGACCTGCTTCTACTTTTTTACCAACTGTGTGGTTCTTGGGAATTACAAGTGTGACAATGTAGGATCAGCACTGGACTGCGGACCACGAGGTCAGCTGTTCAAACCCACCAGCTGCTCCACGAAAACCCTATACAGCATTGCTATGAGTTGGGACCAGCACTTACCAACAACAACCTCTACTTTGTTTTAGGCATCTGTAAAATAGATGTGATGACTAATCTAAGGATGCAAATGTGGACTAGATGGTACCCAGTGTAGATTAGGGGCTCACTTTAATTCTGATTATGATCTGAAAGTTGAGAATGCTCACTTAATTATGATTGTTTACAAATTGAGAATCACAACTAAACTCTGGAGATAAGCGGAAAAAGTAGGTTGTGAATTTCTTCATTCTTGGAAGAAATTTGCTTCCAGCTAAATGTAAATCTTCTAAACTTTGAAGAGTTTGTAATTCTCTCATCAACAATTAGAACGGCAAAATATCCTCTAGGGAAAAAAAATGCTAAAAATGAAGCTCATAGAAGTGAAAATAATAATAAATATTTAGGACTCCAAGCTTGCTGTTGTTGTTGTTAAGTGCTACTGAGTCAGTTCTGACTCATAGTGACCCTGTATAGGGTTTCTGAGGAGCAATTGGTGAGCTTGAACCGCCGACCTTATGGTTCAAGCCAACTTTGCAGTCCAGTGCATTAACCCACAGCGCCACAACAGTTCATTGAAGTGTAAATAATAATAAAGATTTAGGTATCCTAACTTAGTTACTGGAATCCTGGTGTGGTGCTGTGGGTTAATGAGCTAGTTGCAAAGCGGTTTGAACTGCAAGGTTAGCAGTTCAAGCTCGCCAGCTGCTCCTTGGAAACCCTATACAGGGTCATTATGGGTCGGAACCAACTCGACAGCACTGCACAACAACAACAACTTAGTTATTAGCTATTGTGCCTTTTATTCTGATAACAGAATTTTGTTTGAAAAACAAAAAAGTTGCTTGAAAAATGTGTTGATTGACTCATTTCATTAGGAAATATTTATGGAGTTTCTGGACAGTGTTCTGGACTGGAGTTCTATAGTGAAAAGTAAGCTTCAGGTGGTTTCTGACCTTGTGAACTTACCTGATGGGGCTGCAGGCCCCCAAGTGCTGCTTCTGAGCTTTATAAGTGTCTTTATAGAATGTCAAGATAAAGTTTTTCATAAGCATATCTTTACATATGAAAGAACCAGTGATTTAAAGGAGGTGAAACCTTTTGAGCGCACACTAGGATTGAATTCATCTTGAATGTTTAAGAATGCACTTGTAAGATGATTGTGGGGCAGGGCTATCCCTTTGTTATACCTCATTTCTGGGGAGGGTGTGGGTACTTTTGTGCTTACCTTACACAGTGGTTATGCACTTAGATAATTTCATTTGGGAGCAAACTGGGTCAGTAAAATCCACCACTAGGTAAACATGATCTCTTGACCTAATTAAATCATGCTTCATGTGTTGTTATGTGCCGCCGAGTCGGTTCAGTTCTGACTCATAGCGACCCTGTACAGGATTTCCGAGGCTGTAAACCTCTATGGGAGCAGAAAGCCTCATCTTTCTTCCGCGGAACAACTGGTAGTTTCGAACTGCTGACCTTGCGGTTCGCAGCCTGATTCGTAACCACTACGGTACCAGAGCTCCTATGCTTCGTGTAGAAAAGGTCATGTTCAACTTTTTAGTTTGTAGTGCTTGTAGAATTCTTCATTGCCAAAGAATAAAAATAATCTACCTACCAACAAAGACTAATGTAAAGATGATAATACCAAACAGATGATCACCCCATTAAAAATGGATTCCCACATAGTGCTGTGGGTTAATGCACTGGTCTTCAAAGTTGGTTTCAACTGCAAGGTTCAAACTCACGAGCTGCTCCTAGGAAACCCTCTACAGGATCGCTATGGGTCGGAACTGACTCAATGACACTTAACAACAACAATATTTACATACTGAATTGACTCCTACCTTCTCACTCTGATATTCACAGCCCAGCTACATCTCCCCCGTTTACCTGTATCTCCTGTCTTCCAATATTTTTGTTGTTGTCAAACTGGGCCACATGGTCAATGTGCTTTTGCACACGCTGAGTCTTCCACCTGGAATGCTTGTCCTATTTGCCTCTCACTGCTGTGTATCAAGGAGTCCTGGTGTGGCGCTGTGGGATAAGTGCAGGAGAGCAAGGTCAGTTTGAACCACAAGGTCGGCAGTTCAAACTCCCCAGCCGCTCCTTGAAAACGCTATACAGGGTTGCTATGAGTCAGAACTGACTCAGTGACACTTAACAACAACAACAGCCATGTATCAAAGTTCTATTGATCCATCACAGGTCAGCTTCAGTTCCCTGTCCCATCCTGCCTTTCCTGAGCTCCATCTACCGCCCTTGAGCCCCAGCATTCTGTATTCAACTAGGGCACTTCCTTTACCACACTTGTTGTTACGCGCCGTCCAGTTGGTTGTGATTCATAGCGACCCTGTATAGGTTTTCTGAGGAGCAGCTGGTGAGCTTGAATCATCGACCTTGCAGTTCAAATTGACTTGGAAGTCCAGCGCATTAACCTATAGCACCACTTACTTTTTTGGCTATTTGTGAAGTTAGTTCTTCACTGGGACTTTGGGCACGGATCCTCTTTGTACCCTAATGCCTGACACAGACTCGTCCAGAGCACGATTAAAGAGTATAAAAGAATTTGCCAAAGTGAGACTATCATTGCATCCCAAGTACAATAGGCGTGTCCTAAAGCGTCACATAGGATAAGAAAAACATAGCTGCAGATATGAAAGGTAAATACAATCTATATCCTAGAAACAAAATAAACAGGAACATAAACAGGCCATGTGGTTTCAGACCTGAAGGTATATTATGATGAATTTCCATAGCTGTCATCTCTAAGCTGGGTAAAACAGTCTTTGTTTTGGTTACCTCTTTTACTAAATTGTTTAGAAAAAAGTTACTTGAAAGTAAAAAGAAAACCTCTCTTTTCCAGGGCCAGTTCTGTGACTATTGCAATTCTGAAGACCCCAGGAAAGCACACCCCATCATTAATGCGATTGATGGAACAGAACGTTGGTGGCAGAGTCCTCCTCTGTCCTCAGGCACACAGTACAACAAGGTCAATGTTACCTTGGATCTGGGGCAGGTGAGCTACGTTTTCAGTTGAAATGCTTTTGTGATGATGTCTGGTATAATCATAATTGCTTAAGAAATAAATTTTAGTTTAAATTCACTAATTATTGTTGCACTTGCTACATTAATATTTTCTTCTGGTGCTGTGGCTCAATCACTCAACCACAAGGTTGGTTTGAACTACAAGGTTGGTGGTTAAACTCACCAAATGCTCCTCAGAAACCCTATACAGGGTTACTATGGGTCAGAACCAACTTGACGGAACTTGTGACC